TATTTATAAAAGCAGCGGAAAACATGTCCTTTCAATGCAAAATTCGAATGAAAAACTATGTAACCAAATAATCCTAACAAATATATCATAAATTCCTAAGCTCAAAATATGATCTTCGAATCAAGCGATCGTAATCCATTTCTTCTTGATCAGACTCATCTTACTCTTCCATCAAACTTCCTCTCTTTTCTCTAATCCTGCAAAATATGCAAATGTAATCTTATCACATTATGTATAAAGAATAGGAATTTAAAGGGGTTAGATAGTGGATTTTATACCTGAAGTAGACCCATACTTCTTGACTCTCTCATCTCTTAAACTCTTCAGTTCCTTTGAGCAGCTTTGTATCCATTGCCCCTTCTCTTGGCAGCAGAAACAGGTGGGTTCTTCTAGAGTGTCCACGGAAGCATGGTTGGTTTAATTAACAGACAAATATGCTCCATTACTTTGCCAAATCATTTCTGATTCAGCAACCATAAGCATGTAAGTTAAGTCAATAAGGGTCACGTCAAGATCCATCATATAACACTCTCTTATGAACTTATCATATGATTTAGGGAGTGACTGAAGAACCCAGTCCACAGCTAACTTACTGGGAAAAGACGCATCCAACATAATCAACCTATCAATGTGTGATTTCATCCCTAGGATGTGAGCACACACGGGTTTACCATCTTCATGTTCCATTGCCAATAGGGTTTCGGTGATCTTGAACCTTTCAAATCTTCGATCTTGTAGTTCGGGGAGAACAACGGGAGGAGGAGGAGGGAGTGAAATCAAGCTAGTCCACATTGACCCTTCATATTGAAACAAGCTTTTACTTTCAACAGGACCACCTTTTCCTTGGGATTCGGGAAGACCACGGTTAGAGTCAGACATCTACAAAACGGGAGAAATTTCAAGTTAGTTGATTAAATCCTTAATGAAACACCCAAATGAGACATTAAGTCTAGGATCCAACAACATTATTTACACATTAGAAGAGGGATGCCGTAATCCAACATGCAAATAATTTGGAGGTAAGTGAATGACGATTCACTAATTCTTCACCATTAAAAACATAAAGGCTTAAGTTTTAAATGTATTGAGAATTCATATATTTCCTTTGAGATTCATTGAACTTTTCAACGACATGTTTAAATCTCGATATGCCCCTATCGTTTCTGACTAGGATGTCGAGGATCACAAAGTGGGTGTGAATAACCATGCAAATGTACATGGTGCCCTCATTGTTACAGACACCTATTCGATGTGCCGGTAAATCACACACGCTCCACTAACGTCTTAGCAATGGCACAAAGTGTAATTTCATGGGATTGCATCAATTTCACTTTTGCCTAAAGTAACTAGGATTGGGAATTTGTAAAAGCGTTTAGTTACATTACATAGTTTCATTATACTTATTCATGAAGAGAGGATTGTCATATCCTACCCGTTCCGCTAACGACCCTCCACCAATCAAGGAAGCGGTGGGTAAGAGTGGATACCCATTAAACGGCCATTTTATAGGTCATAACCTTATACCCCCCTTATAGATCGGTTTCGTGAATGAGGCCTACTAACGGTAAGACTAGCATTTTAGTTATACATATATAATATTAGACTTTTAATGTTATACGTAGTATAAGGGTGTATTATACACTTTTAAAGTACTAGGTGGTTTAAATTTTATAAATTACACTTTTAATAAAATATAAACCTCATCATTATGGATTTATTAACTCTCTTTTAATTATACACTTAATTAATTTAATAAAGTCATAAGGGTGTAATTTGAACTTTTCAAAAATTAGGGTTTTAGAATTTAGCATTTTTCAAAATTAAACTTTTAATCAAACAATTTAAATTCCAAAGGGCAAGTTTTTGAAACTTTTCAAAACAATTAGGTTTTAATCTCACTTTAAAATTTTCGAATTTAAGACTATTTAAATTAAAATTTTAAATATTAAAACTCTTGATTTAATAATTATCTTGAATCAAACTATTAATTTAAATTATTGAATCATAAGGGATTATCTAAATCATAAAGGATAATTAAACAATTAATTTATCCAAATCTGTTTAATCCCTCTAAATTTTGAAACTCATGGGATAGGGTAATTCAAAATCTTTAATTACCATATATAACCATTAAAGGATAATTACAAGATATGGGATAATCGAAATCCCTAAAATTTAGGATCTTATCTTGGGGAGGAGGCTAATTTTGAAAATCATAGGGTTTTTCAAACCCTAGATTTTGAAATCTTGAGGCTTAAGGAAAGTATTTGAAAACCCTTTCAAATTTTCGCAAATTAGGGTATAGAAACCCTAATCTCGAAATTTCTAGCCTCCTAGGGTTTATTGGCTATAAACCCTAATATGTCAAGTTCATACAATTGTATAATACTAATTGAAAACAAGTTAACCAAAGGCTCTGATACCACTGATGGGTTTTGTACAAACAACCATATGTGTGCATACAACCCTAGAATTGGATCTATGTTTTCACTATTAGATACACAACATTATGAACACATAAAGAAACCCTAGTATGCCCTAGTATTTTCGAAATTCATATTGTAGATTAGATTACAGACCTTTTGTTGTTATATTGCAATAACAACTCAAATCTTCAAACCCTAACTCTTGAAAGCAAGTACCACAAGTATAATACCTCTAACGGCTCACAAACACTACAAGCAATTGGAGAGGCTATAGAGAGAGAATGGAGGAGGTAAAAATCGGATCTAGATACCTTAGGGATCAAGTGGATGATTTCTTATGCCTTAAGAGTCTTTATATAGGGTTGAGATTAGGGTTTCAGTCCTTTTCCTTATCTAGTTGTTTGCCCACCAGGCAATCATAAGACAAGTCTTGATAACCCTTATCTCTTGGACCTTTGGATGATTTCAAGGATATCCTATCCCTTGAATTCGTCCATCCTATTACTAGGATAACGATTGCCCTATTTTGCAATGGTCACATAATTACAATTTAGCCCCTCTAGTTTAATTAATTACACTTGATCACAAAACTAATTCCTAATTAATTATTGACCAATATTAATTAAACAAATATAATTTCTCCATTAATATATTATTCGTATAACATATTAATAAATCATAATAACCTATTTCTCTATTTATTTCTCCAGTCAAGTTGCTTTGGTGAAAGCAACCCAAAAGGACCATGCACAATCGGGTCAAGTGCTTACCAAATATGGTTATGGGCTTAGACACTAATCCAACATATATATTCCCCTCCATTGTCAGATTCTAATATTTGAATTTCCTTTCGATACTATGATTTGATGATGTGGTATAGTTAATTGAATGCATAGTGTACTTTCCCCTTGTTTTTTAGAAGTGAGATCGGAATCATTTTTGTGCATTCATCAACAAAGATTACAAAATACAGAACACCACTAGGCGTGGTAATCTGAGTCGGACCTCATAAATTGGAATGTATAGTCTTAAAAGGAGTTAACGTTTTATTAAAACCAGGAACATACAAGATTTTTTTGTTTTTTGCTAACTCATAAGTGCCATACTTAAAATCATTGTCCATTACATTCAAAAATAAATTTGGTTTAAGCTTCCTAAGGCAATTAAAGGATAGATGTCCAAGCCAACAATTCCACAACCAAGCCACAAACTGGTTTGCTTGACTTATTCCAGTATGATGCACTTGAATTTTATGGTTTTCTTCAAGATAGTACAACCGCCCCCGCCTAGTACCATAGCAAGAATCTGAAGTGTTCTCATATACTAAAATATAAAATCATTTGGCCAAAAAATCACATAAAAGTTAATAGCTTCCATAATCTGACTAACAAATAGTAATTGTTTTAGGAAACGACAAACGAATTAAGTGGAAGCCTACTCGTAATATTTCAATGAACACCCCGGGTTCAAGCTCCTTTACAGGAAAACCCAACCCCCATAGTGATTTCTAGAGAAAAATTCTCACCACAAGAGGTAGTTTAAGGGAATCAAACTCCCAACCTCATGCCCCACATGGTTATAAAACCCGGTGCATCACCACAGCTAGGCTAGACATCACTTTCGATACCTAGTAAATTAGAGTATAAGGATGGAACCACTAGGACGGAATCAATATCCATTGACCATGAAATTTTCGTGGATCCTTCACCTGTTATAGGTGCAGTACTCCATTCACGTTGCATATGTTTCTTTATTTTATCGGAAAATTTGTCATTATTTTTTAGTCATTCGTCATATCGTCGGTGGCACCAATATCAATTATCCAACCTTTATTTGAGGTGTGGTTAAGATGTGACATACCAGAGTTGGTTGACGTGTTAGCTGCTATTTGAGTGATAACTTCGTCATATTGAGATTAGTTTGCAACAGTTGTCTGACTGATCTTTTTCTGTGGTTTCTTAGTGAAATCTCACCATTCTAGCTATCCGATAATCTAATAGCATCAGAGTTTTGAGTGACCTTCTTCCCTACAATGCGTAAATGTAACTGTATTCCCCTTCTCGTTTGTTTTTTTCTTCTTTGTGTTACGATTTCGAGTGACTAGATGAACCACACTATCTAATTCGGGTTTTGGTTCTTCCATGGTTTCTCTTTGATTTTGATCTTTTCAGGTGTAGGTATAGCATGAATCCAGATCAATGGGTGGGTCTTTTAGAAGGATTTCGCTCCTTGCTTGATTATATTCCGGATCTAGTACAACAAAGAAGATGTGCACATGAAGGCGTGATAATGTTTCGTTTAGGGTAGTATTTTTAGTGACAGTGTCTTCTTGAACAATTAAGAGGGTATCGATTTCATGAAATACGCTTACCAGTTCATTGAAGTAAACAAATAGAGATCTTCCGTTCTGGCGGGTGGTGAAGGACCTCCGGTTCAGCTCAAACAATTGAGTTTTATCCATTCCATCATAAATGGTTTTTCTGACTACATCCTAGATCTTAACCTCCATTTGCAAACAAATAAAACGACCATCAGTGGTGGACTCATCAAGTTAGTTAACCAACTTTCAGATCAATGATTGTCGATGAGCCATGCTTCAATCTTCTTTTTATCACTCTTCGGTTTCAGTGTCGCTCCAGTGATGTAATCGAATTTGTTTCGTGCTCCAATCCGCATCTCCATAAATTGCACCCACAAATGATAGTTATTGTCATCAAGAATGACTTTGGTGGGGAAATATGTGTCTTGAAAATTCGGAACAATGACTTACGAAGTGTTCGATGCTTCCCCCATGGATACGAGAATTCTGAGGTCTCTCTAGGATATCAAGGTGATGAGGTATGTTATGATACCATGTAATTTCGTGAGTTTTGGTAGAAGAAATATTATGTATATATCACCAAAGAAGAGTACAAATATTTACACAGGGGATCAACTAACTATCTATGGTACAACCTTAAATGAAGGAACAAGAAAGGAAATACACACCAATGTAGAGATAAGCACAACTAATATTCCATGTTTGACTCTCGCTAACAGTATTGGTGCTGCCGATATTGATTAAACGAGACAGACGACCTCAACCCTTGGATCGTAGACAAATCGAACGGATGTGGTTTGACAAAACGGATTGATGCAGATTGTTATTATCCAGGTGTTGTCGACAACATTTTTACCGGCGATAGTGACTTTTAGCAGCGGCATAACCTTAAGTGGCCGCTAAAAGTCAGTGTTGCCGCCAAAAGTGTAACCGGCAAGGGTGGAGGTTGGTTCAAAAGGTATCACTACATCATCGGTTTCAAGCTGATGATTCTCTTATTCTTGGTAAATGGTCTAGGCAGAATATAAATAATCTTGTTTCTATTTTGTATTGCTTGTGCCAAGCCTCAGTTTAGTAGTTTAAATTATAAAAATCTAGACCATTTGGAGTGGATGTAGCAGAGACGGGGATACACTACTAGAAAAACAGCCTTTTATGACGCGCGAACCATGACACGTGCTCTTTTATGATACGCATTAGTGTGTGCCCTATAAATAATGTCTACTCTCAGAAAATTAGAAGGATTTAGGTTACGCATTTTCGCGTGTGCTAAAATAAGTGTCACATTGAAAAAAAATAAAAACACGGAGGGCACATAACATAAAATGGGCGTCCTCTATGTATGTCGCTTTATATTTTTTTAATGAAACGCGGGGTTAGTTCTTTTGGGGGAAATGAAATTCCGAAAAGTTTGAAAGGCCCGTCATGAAGGGACGATTCTACTTCTTTTTTCAAAAATCCTATTCAACATATGTTGATTCTCACACGCACAGACTTATCGCTATCTCTATCTCTATCTATCTCTCTCTCTCAAACACACATCTCTATCTCTATCTCTCTCTCTCAAACACACACACACACACACAAAATTGAAGGGACGATTCTAGGGTTTTTTTCAAGAACCATTCAAAACACAAAGGATTCCTCTTTACAATAGGTTGGTGACATCGTGTCACCTCACCTCGTCGGCGATTGTGACTCCTCGAAGATTTAGGGTTGTGCTCGGTGTTGTGCTCGGTGATTCAGCAACTAACTGAGGTCTAAGGTTACGTGGTTGTGTTTGGTAATAATGGAAATAGAGAATATATTGTTTTTACAATCAGATAAGCCTTCTGCTAACCGGTATGCCCCCTCTTCTCTTTTTAATTCGATCACAGCTCCGTCCTTACCCTTCTTCTTCTTATTATTTTTTGGCTGATGTTTTACCTTGAGGAATATACTATGGAGGCGATTTCGGGTGCAAAGAAGGAATTTCAGCGGTGGAACTTATTCCATCTGATGGAGGAGATGCCTAAACAGTGGCATTTTCAGGGGCATTTTCGGAAATATGAAGTTTTTCCAATATATCAGAACAGTTAGTCTTCCAAAAATTCATGGAGGTACTTCCATCTGGCATTCTTTTTGATGAACTATTACCATTTATCAGGGTCCTCATTGATGTATATTGCATGGGAAATCTTGGTGTTGTTTTTGATGTGCCAAGACAATGGGACTTTTGACAGCAAAAAGCATTGGAAGATCTTGTGATGTGCCTCATTTTACCTGTGTATGTGTTGCTATGCCCCTCATTTGAGCCCGACTACTTTGTAGGTTGGCTATTTTTTGTCTATGCCTGATCAATTGGCATGCTAAAATATTTGTTGATGCCTAATCAAACCACATGTTACTAGTCATTAATAGTTAGATGTGATCAAAAAACTTAGGAATCCTAATTTAAGTAGATCTTTATTGCACACCAATTGTTTGATGATATGCCTTAGTGACAATGTGTATGATTTTTTCTTCTTATATGATAATCAGCAATCTTACTGCTATAAGAGAGATGATCGGATGGCTAAAGGTAATTAAGAGACATGATTAATTATAGAATGTTGAAATAGGACAAGAAGAAGAAAATGTTCTACAGTCCTAATGCTTTATGTATGTTCTAGTTGATTCTCAATTTGGGATCCCATTAATGGATCTCAACTATAATTTGATAGTGGTCATTGCAGAATGTTTTTAGAATAAGAGGAATCGGAAAGCTTGATAATTATTATTCTCATGTTTGTGTGTATGTATACTTCATGAATCATGATTTATTATTTTTCCTATATTTCTTATGCATTAATTAACAAGTCTGACTTGTCAACATCTGTAGAATGAAAATGATCCCACAATAGGATTCTTGTATGATGGAATGGACCATCTTTGCTAACTAGTATGAAAATACATTGCAGGTGAAGCTTTAAAGGTTTAATTACCATTTTGCCCTTGACAATCGTTGGGTAATTATACTAAACAATCGTTGGGGAATTATAATCATCAATCGCCATGCGGTTAAACTAGGTAAGATGAGAGCTTTATTTTCTTATTCTTTTATTGGGTTTCAAAGTTTTCTTATTCTTTTATTGGGTTTCAAAGATTCAGAGTCAGAAGCTCAGAACTAGATTTTACTAAAACCCGGTTCTATTTACTGTTAGCACCCCATTTATGAATGCCCTGTTCTCTCCAATATTGAACCCAAACAGATCAAAGTTTGGTTCCAAGATCAATGGTATGATTATGAATATTGCAATTTTTTCTTCCAAATCTCTTTTCAAATGGTTGTGTAGGTTTAACTTTGAACATTGTAGTTGTTAATGATCTTTACAAATGCAAGGAGAAAAAGGGAAATAGGCTTCCCATCTTTAGTTTCTGAATCCAAAGCTTTTAATGGAGGAAAATTATAGCTTTTAATGGAGGAAAATGATAGGTTGCAGAAGCAAGTGTCACACCTGTATATATAATGTTTGACAATTTTATTGATATTGTGGTAAGCAACAATGAATCAAAATTACACATATGATGGATTGTACAAGGTAAACTAATAGACACTTTGGGATTTCTTTTAGAATAAATAGGTAATAATTTTATATAAACATTAAAATTATACTTGTTTTTCTTTTTCAGGTTGTCAAATATTGGGCGGAAAAGGGGTTTCAGGTTTCTATGTTTACAAGTTTCGTCTCAAGCGTATGGAAGGGCAGCCTTCTTTAGTGACTGACATGGCTAATTTGTTGTTTTTAATGTTAGGATGGTATGTGAAGACATCAGTAGAGGCCTTGATAATATTCCCATTCCAGCAACAAATTTAGTTGATGATCCACCTGTTCCCCTAACTGGCATGTTACTTACACTGCCTCAATTTTTTTTATTAAATTAAACTACATCTATGATCCATGATCTATGATTACGATGATGTGTTATTAATTTTTTTTTTATTGCAATGTGAATGTGATAACATGACAGGTTACAAGTATATTAAGTATATTAAAGTTTCAAACAATGTTGTGGTCCCTGGTAGTGCCTCTAGATGCACCTGCATTAAAGAAGGCAGATATAGGAATTGCCATGGACTCAGGCACAACAGTTGCAAAGGTATGTTTGATGACTTTTTGACTAGTCCACTCTTTCTTAGGTTGACTTTATGGTTATAATATAGCAAATTAATAATAATTATTATCAGAGTGCTTCATATGTGGTTTTGACTGATGACAATTTTGCTACAATAGTTGCAGTAATGAGACTTTTTAAAGGCCCATAACATGTCATTAGTTTAGTATATTAATACCTTTGTATGGTTGGGATATTGATTTAGTCGGATCAAATATAGTCATAATAATGTTTTATAGTGCACGAAGTCTTGAAATTGAGCACTTCAGTAACATTGACTCCATTAGACTTTACAGCATATCCAGAAATGTACAAATGTTGTTTTCCATCGTAATGGCCCATAGCATATCAGATTAGTATAGTATATTTATGCAGTTATAAAATTATCATAGGCTAATCGACACTCTTGTTTCAATCGGTTGTTGTTCTGTTCCAATCCACGTGAAAATAATGTTATGTTAAATCTGTTTATTATGTGAAATTAATGCTACAACATATCATGAATGACTTAAATAGCAAAATTCATGGCATACTTTTTGTTGTTTTTTACAGTTGATGAACGTTGTGATATGGGGTTGGAAGAAAAGTTCCTAGATAATTTCACCTCTCAGCCTTCTTTGAAGTCAAGGGGTCCAAATACAGGTTACAAATCTTCTACAATTACAGACAATGGTCTGAGTGTTTTTCTAGTAGTGTGTGTGCAGGAATTAACCATGCTTTGTGCTAAACCTAATCACTTGGTGTTAAGTATTTACAGAATTTTACTGTCTCTGTGGACGAATTAGCTAAAGACATGTTATGTTGTATACTTTTATTTTCCCTATGCTATAGATCTGATTTTCACTTTCTGGAATGTTTTCTGTTTTGTGATGGAATTATTTTCCAAAAATACCCCATGGATTGGATCCTGTCTCTAGTATGTTTAAACAGGTTTGTGATTTAGGAGTTGGATTCTATTTTTTTTTTTTAAGTAGAATGCAATTATTTGTATTTGTTGTCATCTGTTTTTATCTTTTTGACGCAATGCAGCATGTTGCTGCTGAAGGCACAACCTTGGTCAAACAGGTAGAAGATGCTGCAAGTAATAAGAAGGCAGAAAAAAGATTGCAGGTTGATCCTGCTACGTGGCCAATAATGATCTTTAGGTTCTGCTAGAAGGATTGGAGATTCCAGTTAAGCTTCTATCTAAGACTTCGCGCCAAGGACTTGATGAATTTAAGATATCATATTTTGGCATGGCTAGAAGCTTTGGAGGAAATGAGACTCAAGCAAAAGTAAACACACAGAGAGTTGCTGACACATAGTAAGCTAGATAATGCAATTGTATATACATGAGTTCATTTTTTTATAAGATTTACTCAGTATTGGAATAATAATTTGTATTTGACATATTAGTGAAACGAATTATATTTGTTATTTATGGTATTTTATTTTGTATTATGAGATTTATAATGTATTATTTAATTTGAAAATTAGTAAATCTATAAATAATATTTTTTTTAAACATTTAAAATTATGATACGCAAAAATGTGTGTCATCTTCATTTATGACATGGTCTTTTTTGACAGGGGCTTTCTTGATACGCATTGCGTGTCATTAACACGCGCGTCGTAAGGTTACGACACGTGAATGCGTGTCGTCTTTCTTTATGACAGGGCCTTCCTTGATACGCATTGCGTGTCGTAAACGCGCGTCATAATTGCGTGTCGTAAATGAGCGACGTAAATGCGCGTCTTCTATAGACGACGCGCAAAAGCGCGTCGTCTCTCTTTATGACAGGGCCTTCCTTGACACGCATTTGCGCGTCGTCTGAGCCTTTTATGACGCGCAATGAGCGTCGTAAAAAGCTGTTTTTCTAGTAGTGATACAAGATTATGGTATATCAATGGGGTGTTGCAAGGTAACATTACCGTTTTCTTATTTTAGTTCCCTATCAGTTAAAGCATGGGGCGGGAAAGTAGTTGGAAGGTAATTCTAGATAGAATTCAAAAGAAAATATCTAAATGAAAATTTTATTTCCTTGGTGGCGGATGTTACTAAAGTCAATGATCGGCTCCCTTGGAAATTATTTTTTTCTTTTAAGATGCCAAAAAAGTTGTGGAACCTATAGAATCTATTATAGCGGACATTTTTGGGGTGGGGTGGGGTGAAATTTGATAATGATTTTTTTTTATCTTTTATTTTAATTTCATCAAATAGCTAGATAAGATATTTGCTACTATGGTAAATGGTGTTCAGGACTTGGAACTCTTAAGGATTTTAATGATGCTCTTATACAAAAAGCAAGGTGGATAGTGGCTTCGGTCCCTTATTCGATGGCATAAAGATGGCATAAAGGTGGTAGGAGTACTGAATCACATTGTTGGTTCGTTAAATATTCTTCATGATAAGAGTATTATACCACATTGTTTTTTTCAAAAAAAAAAAAAAAAAAGGAAAAAAAAAAAAAGGAAAAAAAAAAAAGGAGTGGGAAATGGGACTCTAACTATTTTGGAAATATAAATTAGGTTGGAGATTCCCCGTTGCTATGTCTTTTTCCATGGTTATTTTTCATGGAAAAAAAAGTGAGTACGATAAAATATCATAGGGTTTTGGGAGAGTGGCTGTGGCAGTGGAAAAGACCGATCAGGGTGGTATTGAACTGAACCAACTCCTTGCATGGAACTAGCTCTAGGTCACAACTGTCAAGCAAGACTCTTAACTATAATAAAATTCATTAGAAAAGGTCTTCATATTCCGTCAATTGTGTGTCAGATTTGTTCTAGTTATTTTGAAAATGTGACACTTGTTTAAAGTTTGTGAAGTGGTCAACCAATTATGAAAGAGGACTTTTTATTTCTTTTTTACACATCACTCTCTTAAACACCAGCCTACTATACAATTATTAACTAATCATTTTTATTAATAAATTGTTTTGATTACATAGTTTTTAAAAAAATTAAGTTTCTTGCAATCGCCGGCGGGATCAAACGTCGTTGAATCCTCGATTTCCTCTGCAATATGGGAGCAAATTCTTGGACAACAGTCATCGCAATCGTAATGTCAAAGTGCATGGTAATCGTAGGGATCATCATAATAGTCAAGAACCAAAAACTAATTACGTAAGGTCAGATACATTCTCCCTCTTCATCACTAATTTTCCGGATTAGTTCAAGCAGAAGACATTTATAGGGTATGTAGTCGTGCATGTAGTCGCTTAGGTAAAATTTTCGGAGTTTTATGGCTAAAAAACTATCAAAATTTGGGAAACGATTTGGTTTTATTCGATTTTCAGGCGATGGTAATTGTGACTCTCTGATAAAACAGCTCCGTGAAGTTTGGTTTGGATTATATATATTGTTTGCCTCCCTCCCTCGATCCCTGGGAAATAATGATCGATCCCCCCAACATGCTGGTCTCTTCACAACAGGCCATTGTTATGAGAATGTTAAATCCTATGCAAATGTCGTCCGAGGTCACCCTAATAATACGAGAAACAGGAGATCATTGATCTTCCTTCTGATGACTACATAGTTGAAAACAAACAAAGGGCTTGCCTTGTTAAGGCAAGAGATTTTCTGACACTTCCTAATCTCCGGGTCTTATGTTTGGACGAGGGATTCGATAACTTTGAGATGAAATATGTTGGAGGTCTGTGGGTGCTAATTTAATTCAACTCAAATAATGCATGTAAAAACTTCATGAATAGTGAAGCTATGGATCATTGGCTTTTAGAAAAGAGAGCGTCGGATCGAAATTTTATTCCCCCAGAATGTTTATTATGGGTGGATGTTGAAGGAGTCCGTTTATCTACTTGGAGTAAAGAGTCATTTAGAAAAGTCCTCTCTAAATGGGGAACAATAGTACAGTTAGATGACAACCTGGGAGAAGATATTTAGAAGAATAGGATCTGCATACTTACAACTATCCAATCTATCATTTCAGAAGTGATCAAAGTATGTGTTGCTGGGACTATACATTGGATTAGAGTCAATGAAGCTCCGGGGTGGACCACAACCTTTGTTCATCATCTTCCAGCTCAAGACTTAGCCGAGAGTGAAATACAAGAATCTGAACAAAATGAAGAAAGGAATGATGAGGTTTCATTGGATCCCTTTGGTATTGAAAAAATAAAAAAAGATGAGGTCAATAATGATATTAATAAAGGATTTAACTGCTGGGGTAATGGCAAAAAACACAACAATAATAGAGACAAACCTTAGGGGCAAAACAGGAACTCAGCAATGAATTTTTTTCTCATGATGTTCCTGCTGACCGATGTGCTTCAAGCTCCCCTGCTGCTTCACAAACTCGCCCATCTGCTACCCCCAGACCTGCTGTCGAACCCACAGACAATGCACCAACTGTTTTGGTCCCTAATATTGTTCTGAATGTCGCTACTGTACAATCCGCCTCAGCTGAAGAACCTGCTGCAACAACTGACTCGCAATCAGCATTGCCTGCTCACACTGTTCTTGTTCATTCTGTTGATCCTGGGCCTCTTCAAGTTGAAAAAGAAAACTCAAACAAACAAGCTCTGGTTGGTTTCTCAGGTGGCTTTATTCTTATGTCGGGCATCCCATCTATGGATGATTCTCTATCTCATCCACCTGGTTTTTCAAATTTCAATCAAAGAGATAATGATCTTTTCTCAGAGGGTTCTTTCAACACTGACTCAATAGAGGTCGAATCACGAAAAACAATTGCTGTAGGAGGGAGTATTGGTTTAAATTTGAATAGTTGTTCTGAGCACGTGAAAAATACTATTCAAGAGGAGCGATTTAACAAAATTTAGATATGAATTGTTTATCTATTAATATCCAAGGAGCGGGTTCTTATGAGAAACGGGTGTGGATAAAATCTCTTTGTGTCAAATATAAGATAAATTTTCTAGCTATTCAAGAAACGAAGAAAGAACTAATAGACCTTTCTCTTGTTCGTTCATTGTGGGGTAACCTCGCATTCTCTCATGCTTTCTCTCCTTCTCATGGTGCTTCTGGCGGTATTCTAGTTATCTGGGACCCAAATATTTTTATTTATAATAAAGTTCCATCTCGGATTGGTATGCCGCGGTGGAGGGGGTTTGGGCTGTCTCTAACATGGATGTTATGCTAATTTCTGTATATGCTCTCCAAAAAGATGATAGTAAAAGACAAGTGTGGGATGAAATCTCACGCTTAATTGCTTCTTTCTCTGGAGAATGTGTGCTTATGGGGGACTTTAACGAAGTCAGAACTGAGTC